CTACTGTATGAAAAAGACTGTGTTAGACTTTAAAGGAAAGAAAAAATTTTTTAAAAAAAATACAACATCCTTACTTTCTGTCCTAAAGGACTTCATAGTCTAATTGGGTTTGTATCTTTTAGAGCAATGGAGTTTTCAAGTGTTGTCTGGAGGACCCCAAGACTCTTTCAAAGGTCAGAACTACTTCATAATAATACTAAGACTTTTATTTCTAATATAGTAAATACTGATAGATATAACCCACATAAATTAAAGCTCTGGGCAGAGGAGGTATTCAAGAATTTTTAAAAGTATAAAGCAGTCCTGAGAACAAAATTTGAAAACTGCTTACAAGAATGCCATAAAGTTCACATACACTTGAAAATTTAGTGACAAATTTAAGTTCAAAACTACATCGCACAATTATAAGAAAATATATTCTTATTAAAAACTATGGGAAAAATGAAAACTAGCAACTGTAGAGAAGATAGTATGTCCTGGAAGCAGCAAAGTGAAGTCCATCCCAGCCATAAGAACATTCAATCTGCCTTTAATGCCACTAATCATTTGTTTGCATTTTAAGTGTAACAAGTTATTAAAGTTTAGGGTGGACAATGACTTTATGATGAGCCAAGACTTTATCAGACCAGTTCTTAAATGTTAAAGAGGAGTTGACAACGGTTTGGACTTCAATTTACCAATTTTCCTTCCAAATTAGCCTCTTAGCTGTCAAAATACAATAGGAACCAACCACTGAAAATAAGAGATGTGATTAAAAGGTAATGAGAAAGGTGTTTAAATGAGCATAAAAACTTACACATCCAATGATTTCACTGTCATTAAAAGCAATAACCTTGTGAAGCCACAGCCTTGTGCCATGATGTTGTGATTGCTCAATATATTTCCAAAATTTATTTTTTGAAGTTACCTCCAAAGATATTTTATGAACCTTACAAGGAAATAGTTGGGGGTTGGGAGAGGGGGGAGTATGAAGCCAAGATAGCAGAGTAGAAAGAACCAAGAAAACAAAACTCCTGGCAACACCTCTTTCATCTATAAAATGCATCAAACAGAATACTAATGAAGATATATAGAAAAAGTCTGAGTTCTTTGTCCGACCCAGGTCAGCCTAGGGAGATGCAAAGAAAGGTGTGCCGACCCTGGAGACAGAGTTAGAGCAGGAGCATGTGGTGTCCAGGGAAAGGCTGCGCACCAACACAAAAGGAAGTCCCAGACCTCCTTTGGACCATACCCAGACCCACACAGGGGCACCATTTTCTTATTTTATTTATTTATTTGTTTGTTTGTTTAGGCAATTGGGGTTAAGTGACTTTCCCAGGGTCACACAACTAGTAAGTGTCAAGTGTTTGGTCTGAGGCGGGATTTGAACTCAGATCCTCCTGACTTCAGGGCCTATGCTCTATCCACTCCCACCTAGCTGCCCCAGGGCACTGTTAATAGGGACAGATTCCAACTTGCTGCTTTGGTACCCATTATTTAGTCCCAGTTCACAAATCCAGAACAGAGTGCTCCTGCAGTCTACACATTTCCTTTCCAAGGGAGGTCCTAGGTCGTGTACCAAGAAAAAAGGAAGTTCGGCAGTCAGGAGCAGCAATGTAAGGCCTCCCTTTCCAGCATCTAACTCCGTCTGCACAGGAATAACCAAGGCAGGAAACCCAGAACAAAGAGATGCCTACAATTCTGATGCTCTAAAACAAAAGAGCTTTTCAGCTGGCTGATGCAGTTGGAGTCCAGGAGCAAACTACCCTTGCTCAGATCCAAATCCAGGTTATGTATTTGCAGACTTCAGATCAGGAAGACAGCAAACACTTTGCCCTAGATTAGATTTCTTTGGGAGCACTGAAAGCTTGCAAGTCCTCAGCCTGTTCCTGAGATTCTGGAGTAACACAACACTCAATACACCAAGAAACCAGCAATAGAATCAGGCTAGACCTTCACTCCAAAATGTAGCAGAGCCGAGATCAAACCAAATCTAAAGTTGGCTGGGAAAAGCGGGTGAATAAAAAAGAACCTTAGCTAAATGATATTACTTATCATATCTCAGAATGCCTTGTGATTTTCCACTTTCATGCCTTTGCTTTTGAAGTTCCCTCTCACTAGTGTAACCACTTGCCAGTCCTGTCCATCCTTCAAGGCTCAGTCTATGTGCCATTTCCTCCAGATTTCCCTGATATCTCTGGAACATGATTTTCCCCTCCAAACCTTCTATAATGTTTTATTATTAATCTTCTTTGGAGGCACCTAGATGGCACAAAAGATGGATCACTGGGCCTAAAGTCAGAAAGACCTAAGTACAAATCCAGCCTCAGACACTTATAAGCTGTATAATTGAAAGGAAGTCACTTAACTTCTGTCTGTCTCAGTTTCCTCAAATGTAAAAAGGAGATAATAACACTACCTATTTCCCAGGGTTATTGTGAGGATATTTGTAAAGCACTGCACAAATCTTAAAGCACTATATAAATGCTACTTATTGCTATTATTAGTGTTAACACAATTTATGTTTATACATGATCCTGAAGTCACTGGAAAAATTTGAAATTATGCATTTGTATATTCCCGAGGAAGAAAATTAATAATAAATTTTAGAAACATTTTTGTTTATGAAAAACTCCAGTGCATAAAGGGCTAAATTCAATTCAAACATCAGAGAGGAAACATCCCTAACCTTGTAAATTGCAAAAGAAATGCCAATTTACATTAGTTACATGATTTTCCTATACTAATGTAATCGTAGGCAAAGTCTAAAGGAGTTCAAATTTTCTAAGCATCTGCTGTGGGCAATGCAGTGTGCTAGGTTCCAGAAGACAAAGATGAAAATAATAGTTCCTGACTGAAGAATTTACCTTCTTAGAGGACCAACTCCCAACTTCAGAGAAAAATCTCATTCAAGATTATACTGAAACAGTAGTATTATTGTGCCTACCTACAGTACAATTCATCACAATTGATTTAGTTTGTGTATATGAGACAGAGTGAAACAAAACTCTGGTTGACCATTTTAGTTTAGCAAATAATTATTCAGCTGTTCTTACCTACCTCAAAAATCCATTATTCTCACCTAAACTCAAAACACAAACAAAAAAAACCACACACACAAACAAAAAACAAACAAACAAAAAACAACGGGACACACATATTCATACATATACATGCTCAAAAAAGAAATTTGGAGAAAACAAGGTAAAGGCAAATGTACAAGATCTCTTTTCTCTATTCAATATGAAAACATTAATTTTTTTCATTTCCTAATTCTATGATACTTAATAAGATAGCTATATCCCTATTATTCTACAAAGAGTTGATGGTTTTTTTCTACTAAAACTCTGAGAATAGAATTCTAAGCACTATCCAAAATACTAATGTCCTAATTGAGTTTCCTGTATTGTCTGATGTTATTACCAATATACGAAGAACATAATTTAAATTATATAGAATGAGGGTCAGCACTGATTTGACTCAGGTCCCAGTCAATAAAGCCAAGGTCTAGGAGAATTCTGCCTCCAAGTTCCTAACTCTGTGGCTGTGAGCTGGTGAGGCCAACAGAGTATATAGAAAATGTTGTAAAGATTAACCAAGTACACTTCTCTCTCTGATTCCATTTCCATATTCTTGTCTAATACAAGAGTTCTAGGTGATGCAAGCTCCAGGAATGCAGGCTTTTTCAGGGGTGGAGAACTAGATAGCTCAAAGGTATAAGTACACACTGCCCATTCCACTTTTATTGTGAATTCCCCATTTCCTCCTCTTTCCACGTAATCTCTTATTGTAATCTCTATTCTTTCCATCTCTAAAATAGGAAAAGTGGTGGTTGTCTGTCAGAGGTGTTTATCTGACCAGCAAGACCATTCTTCCCAAACCGCTAGAGACTTGTCATTAAAGTCCTGGGTTAATATGGTAATTAGGTAAAGTAGGATAAAGCATATATATGCTCAGAATGCCTGGCTGACCCTTATAAATTGTAGGAGAGCCAAAGTCAGGCACAGCACTGCTACCATGAGAGAATGAACTGACAGCAGAATCTTTCTATAAAGTTAGAAAATGTACTTGATCCCAATTGCCTATTGGATCTACACTACATCCACTGCAACACGTCAAGCAAAATGCCTCAGTAGTAACAGGTATGGGAACAGATGTTTTTTGAAGACCATATCTGCACTATTAATGACATTGAGTATGCTCAATTGTTGTATAAAAAAACTTTAAGTAAAATAGTTAAAACAAAAGTACTAAAGAACTCTATATTATATGAGAAGAAAAAGGAAATAATACTCCAGCGAGCAAACAATATATCAGTAACTGATATTTCAAATACTTTTAAAAATTCTCATTTCATGCTGATACTTCAGAACAGATTCTTTTTGAAGTAACAGCCTATTTACTTAGGTATTGATGACTATTTTCAAACAGAGGATTAAGTTCTAATCACCTTAATAAGTGAGAAAATTTTGGACTAACCATAACAATTTATAAATCAAACCAAAGAATATAATTTTTATAAGTAATATCTTCTATGTACATAGCACTCTAATAGGAAAAGGAAATTCTAAATGATTTACTTACCAAATATTACAGATAACCTAAACTAATATTATAAGTACACATCAAACAAAATGGTTTGTAGTAACAGGTATGTGAGCAGATGCTTTTTGAAGTCACAAACCACAAGGTAGTTTATAGCATATTAAGAGCAAAGAATAACCAATTTTCTGGTTTTCAAAGAAATCTGTCAAATTACTTTACATTCATCTGTAAGATGACTGCTGAATTACTACTACTAGTATGCTCTGAAATTCAGCATAACTTGTATGATCATTAATGTTTTATTTCTTAATTTAGCAAATGATAATTTGGCAGATAAATATATACCCTTGGGTTTTAGTTCTCTGAGTGAAACCAATTAATACAACTTAAGATGATATATATTATAAGCCATGACAACACAAGATGGGTTTTCCCTTCAGTTACCAAAAGCATAGATTGAAAAATAATGTACTTACTTTTGATGTCTTTGTATAGAAAGGGGAGGAAAGTTGGTGAATAGGCAAGTCCATGATACTATTGGAATTTGTGACACTGTTACTATTTGTGTGTTCATCTTCTCTGCTACTGTCATCAGACTGATCAAAATCATCACTCTCCTGGTCCATTTCCTCCTCCTCTTCGTCCTCTTCATCTTGTTCACCAGCATGTTCCTCATCATCCTCCTGTTCTTCTTGGATACCTGTGGATTCTTCATCTACTGAAATAAACCGATTATTATTTTCTTCTAAGTGTTCTTGCTGGGAATCATTTTGGTCTCCATGTCTGGGTTCTGCACCAATAACTTCCCCGTTCCTTGCAATGTGTTCCTCCTCTTGTCGTAAATGTTGGTGCTGATGTTGTTCCTCCTCCACAACTCGATTCATCTGATCCTCATCTACCTGGCTTGAGGAAGAATTACCTCTTAGAGAGCCTCCAGTTCGTCTCCTCTTGCTGCCCACAGACAGCAGTTCTTGATTCATTTCCAAAAGCCAGCTTGCTACTTCTTGGACCTTGGTTAGACTATCTGAAGATGCAAAGGTTTTCACATTCTGTTGGGGAAATGAAAACAAAAACACAGAATATCATATATTTTTACATTCATATATTTTTCTTTCATTCTCAAACCAAAAATTTCTCGGTCATATCTCAAAAGTGTCTTTAAAGGCTATGAAGGCAATACTTGTTTGAGGGTCATCAAGGCAGCATGCTCTCTAGATAACAAGGCATTTAAATAATAGTGCTTAAGATTAACATTTCACATCTATTCTAAATATTCAACATACTAAGCACTTTTGTCTATCCTTTCATAGTTGTTGCCACTTATACATGTAATTTTCTAAGTTATTTGAACAATAACAGATACTTTCCATAATTATGAACTAGAATGCTTTAACTTTAAGAAAAACAAATTTAGTATAGAACTCTTCAAACACCAGTATAAAAAAGAGAGAATTAAAATTGAATGTGTGAGTATGAGAACATCATAGTTGGAAATATAAAACATAGGTATAACATATCTAAAGTAATCTGGTTTCAGTAACTTTTCCTACTGGCCAGACTACAAATTATACCTTTAACTGAGACAAAAAGAGAAATGCAGAAAATGATGTACATAAATTTGCATGTAAATGCTTGCTTTAGTCTTTGTATTCTCAATCTGCTAACATTAACTTTCTGTTATCCTAAAGTATTAAAACCATCACAAAAAGCTTCAGGAGGAAAAAAAACAATCCTCAATTTTGCCATCTGTCACCACTAGATGGTGATCCCATCCAGTCCATAGTTCCCTGTACAATCTTTTACGTGGATTTTATATAAATAAAATGATCTTTCACCATGCCATGGTCACAAGCTGTCTTTAACTGCTGCTTCTTCCTAAAATGGCATCAGAACATCTTTATTAAAGGCCCCATAGGAATGTTATATATACATAATAATAATTGATCTATTTCTCTGTAACATTTGGAGAATTATTTCTATTTTTTCAAAAATCTACTGAGTAAATCTTATATTCTTTAGCATCAATTTATCAAAGGGTTTTGGTTTTTATTTTTAAGTTGTCCAAGGTAGGGGGTTTGGATTCAGTCAAAGGGCGATAGGTACTTGAAGACCTAGTGGGCCACATGTGGCCTTGAGGCTACAGGTTCCCCATCCCTGGTCCAAGTTTTATCTCCAAGGGCAATCACAATACTGATTTACTAACCATGTCTACCCATAACAGATGGTTAAAAAAAAAAAAACTTTAACATAATCCCAATGAAGGCAAATACCAATAACATCATATACATTTTGAGAAGTTTAACATAGTATTTCATCTACAAATTGAAATGGATAATCACTAGAAGGATCTCCTAACTGTTAAGAGTTCATGTCTTTTTATTATCCTATCATTAACATTTCACATAGAAACAAAGTACATTTTGAAGGGAAAATGAATTTAACTATAAGTTAACTTATAGAACATTAAAAAATAAGAATATATCTGTCTACTCAAGCAAAAGAAGATGAATTACTATACATAAAACTTTTTTCTAGCTAGGAGATTAAAAATAACAAAGCTTTTTATCTTTTTAGATGTTTTACTTACAGCCTAAAAACCACTTCCTCTAATTTCTACTCTAGAAAGAACTAAGATATTTTAATACTTTTTTGCTTTTTATAAAATAGAACAAATTTCATTACTGATGAAGACAAGGCAAGAAACTACATATAGTACAAAAATTCCATTTCTTTGAAATTCAAATAAAAAATCAGAAACATTTAGTAAGCACGAACTTTGTATAAGGCAATATGCTAGGGAACACAAGACAAATACAAAATTAAGACAGCCTCTGATTTCAATGATTTTACATTACACTGAAGGTATATAAGATTCACAGAAAAGCAAACACTGGATATATGCAAAATAAATAGGGTGATGGGGGAGAAGGAAGGAAAGGATTGGAGACACCACAGTGCCAAATTTGATGTTACAAGGATACCAAAAATCAAGATCATTGAGCAACAAAAAATATCTTATATCACTAACTCTTTATAAATGTCTTTTTAATGTAGCCATGTCAACCTCTATAGAAACACTACATTTTCAGGATATAAAATATTAGGTTAGAACCACCATCAAGTCATGAGTATTATAGAATTTTAGACTTGGAAGACATTTTAGGTAGAGGCAATTCGGCCTAATCTCATTTTTACAGGGAAAGAAACTGAGAGCCAAAGAAGTTAAATGAAATTACTTGCTTAATGATACAAGGCAACAGTATTTTGACTTCCAATCATTATTTTTTTTTCGAACATTTACACTTCTTTCATTATTCATCATCCTAATCCTTTATAAATGATGTTGCTGAAATATTTGGGTCAAATTAATGCATATATTTAAGGGATAACAAAAAATCTACAAACCTCCACTAGGAGAAATTAAGTTTAGACCAACATCTTACAACATCTATCATGATTAGCATAAAATGGTTATAAAACCTGACAAAGGTCACTTTTTTTTATTTGAAGAAAATATGATTAAGTACCTTTTTAGCCATGGTTGAGGGGTGAATTCTTAATGAAACAAGACACACAGATCACAAAAGATATAACAGTTAACTGATGATGCAAATGTGGTTTTTTTGGTTTGTTTTGTTTTTTTACATTGGGCAATGGGGGTTAAGTGACTTGCCCAGGGTCACACAGCTAGTAAGTGTTACGTGTCTAAGGCCAGATTTGAACTCAGGTCCTCCTGAATCCAGGGCTGGTGCTCTCTCCACTGCACCACCTAGCTGCCCCTGATGATGCAAATATGAAGCTTTTATATTTAAAAATCAATGCAGCTATAATAGTTTTCAAATAGGAAAATCTTTGTATCAAATATTTCTGCTGATGACTGATATTCAAGAAGCATAAAGGGAACTAAGACAATTCTCTAAGACCAAAGAGCCATTCCCCAAAGGATAAATGATGAAAGGATATTTTTTTAAAATAGTTCTCAAAAGAATTACTGAAAACTATTAGCAACCAATTAAAAAATGCTTGCAAATCAAACATTTCATTTCATCCTCATCAAATTGGCAAAGAAGACAAAAGATGAGAAGAGTCAATGTTGGAGATATTATGTAAAGGTAAGAATAATTATATTTTGTTAGTATAAACATGAATCAGTCAAAACATTCTAGAAAGCAATTTGGAATTATGCTGAGTAACTAAAATGATCTCACTCCTAGGTATATGCCATAAAGAAAGGTCCCATATACATTTAAAAAAGAAAAACCTTAAATGAGCCCTTTTTTAAATCAGAAAAAAAAGCAGAAACCATAGATGTCCATCAACAATGGAACACTAAAGAAAATAAATACAATAGGATATTACTGTCCAATAAGAAATAATGAATATGAAGAATACAAAGGAAATACACTTATACTTTTTCATAATTTCAGTTTCACATAAAATCCTCTTTCATTCTCTGTATAACGAAATATTAAGCTTGCAATAAAAAAGTACCTAGGAGTGCAGAGAAGCATAGGAACATTACTAATATGAACTGATGAAAAGTGAAATAAACAATATACATAACATCAAATAAATGATACTACTACCACCCAAAACAAAACAAAGCAAAAACAATAACAACAACATCATCATCCTGAAGCTGAACACTACAATTACATTTGTCAAGCTCAACACCAGAAAGAGATAGGGTACTACGGCTACAGTAATTTGCAAATAGGTGCAGATCAAGTTTGGTGTAACTGCCCCATCCTTACTTACATTCTTTTTTATTCTTTGTTACAAGAGATGGTTCCCTGAAAAGAGAAAGAAGGAAGAAATATGCAAGGTATCCCAAAAGTCAGTGTAGTTTTAAGTATTTGGAAACAGAGGTATAGAAAAACAAAAGTTTAAAACTACATTTTTAGACTTTAAAAAAAACCTATTATTATTACTACAATGGTCCATCATTCTATCAATGTCAATATTCCATCCCCTCAAAAATGTGAGACTACTAAAGACCTTGTTTTTCCATCTATTTTTTTTTACCACTTACTTGCATTTCCATTGTCTTAATTTCTGAATTTCTCTCTCCTTCCCTCTCCACCCCAGCAAACTGCACACAACAACCAATATTTTAAAAGAGGAGAAAAGAAGCAAGTAGGTGGCACAATGGATAGAGCACTACACCTGGAATCAGGAAGACCTGTGTTCAAATCTAGCATCAGGCATTTACTAGCTCTGGGATTCTGGGCAAGTCACTTCATCTCTGTGTGCCTCATTTAACTCATCCGTAAAATGAAAATAATAATAGCACCTATCTCCAGTGGTGTTATAAAAATAAAACAAGATATTTACAGAACAATTGCTAAATCTTAGAGCATTATATAAATACTATTTGTTGTTGTTGTTGTTGTTATTACTGCTGGTTAAAAAGCAGCTTAACAAAACCAAACAATATTTACAATAGTCCAAACTCATAAAGTTTTACTTCTACAAAGAAAGGAGGAAGACATATATTTTTATTTCAATTCTTCTTTGTTATCAAGCTTGATCATTATAGTTACATACCATACAATTTCTTCTTTTGGTTGTTTGGTTGGATTTTACTGTTGTCGTTTTGATTTACATCGTCACAGTCACTGTGCAGTCTTTTTTCCTTCTGCTAATCAGTCTTCAGAAATTCATGTCTTTCCATGCTTCTCTGATTTCTTCATATTCATTTTAAAAAGTGTAATTTCCTAATATAATCACAATTCATTTAGTCATTTACTAATTGACGGTCATTGGCTTTGTTTCTGGTTCTTTGCTACCACAAAAGGTGTTGCTATTGAATATTTTGGTATAAATTATATCATTTTCTCTTTGATCTCCTTAGAAAAAATGCGTAGTCACAGGATCTGAATCAAAGTATATGGGTACTTTAGTTACTTTCCTTTTAGGATAATTTCAAATTGCTTTGAAAAATGACTGGATCAATTCATAACTCCACCAAGAGTATATTAAGTATGCCTACTGTTCCATAACCCTTCCAATATTGATCCTACAAAACTCCTTACAAAAGACATCTTTT